CAGACTCCTTGTAGAGTCTTGTCACAATTCTGACAACAATCTTTATCTTGGACAATACTTGTGAATAAACCGTACATTGATTGACACTGCAATGGATTGAATTGAACACACCCGCATTCATTGCACCTCGTTAGAAATTGTAGCAGGACACTTATTCAGTCGTTCTTCTCTACGACAAAAGCTGGCCGGCATTTTGCAGATACGGTACATACACCATACATTATTTACTACACTGCTCAGTGTGATTGAAGCCCTAAACTTTTTATACGTACCACTGCCACCATACCGACTAGCTACCTCTGGTACCTCTTAATTGAAACCTCTCCCGTCCCGTCCTTCGACGACCACGAGTCTCTAAACTCTTTTATACCACTGCCAAGCAGACTACCTACCTCTGATACCTCTTGGAACCTTTTCCGGCCTTCCACGACCACGAGTCTCTGAACTCCCTGGTGAGACTCTTCCATCGCGTCGCATCCTTTGAAGACCTTCCAACATATTGACTACCTCTGGTACCTCCTAGCTGATCCCCCAGCCTTCCACGAGACTCTCAACTCAATCGTGAGACTCTTGACCTATAAACAAGCAGGTTCAGCAAACTCCATCCCATCTCTTGAACACCACTGCACCGTACTGACTACCTCTCGTACCTCTTGGCACCTCTCCCAGCTGTGCACGAGTCTCTGAACTCCCAAGTGAGACTCTTGAACTCAAAGCCAGCAGCTTCAGCAAACTCCATCCCATCTTCTGAACACCACTGCACCGCACTGACTATCGCTGGTATCGCTTGGCACCTCTGCCAGCAGCCTTCCACGAGTCTCTGAACTCCCTGGTGAGGCTCTTGACTGAAAGCCGGCAGCTTCAGGAAACTCCATCCCATCCTTTGAACACCTGGGCACCGCACCTATCACCTCCGGTACCGCTTGGCACCTCTCCCAGCAGCCTTCCAGGAGCCTCTGAACTTTCTGGTGAGACTCTTGAACTATAAGCAAGCGGCTTCAGCAAACTCCATCCCATCCTCTGTACACCACTGCACCGCACTGATTACTGCTGGTATCGCTTTGCACCTCTACCAGTCCCCTTCCACAAATTGCTAAACTCCCTAGTGAGACTCTTGAACTGAAAGCAAGTGGCTGCAGCAACTCCATCACCAAGTCCTCAAACTGGCAGCAGAGAACAGACTCTCCGCCCACTCCTGCATGCCATCCTTTGAACACCACTGCACCGCACCAACTACCTCTTGTACCGCTTGGCACCCCTCCCAGCCATCCACGAGTCTCTGAATTCCCTCGTTAGACTCTTGAACTGAAAGCAGGCCGTTTCAGCAAACTCCATCATCGAGTCCTCGAACTGGCAGCACAGACTCTCCGCCCACTCCTGCATCCCCTCCTCAAACTCCGCACACGCCCTCTCCACCATCATATCATCCGATTCTCCCCCCGAAAACGCAGGGAATGCGCCCTCATAAGAGCCTCGCCGGGAATCTCCCCTCGACCTGGGTAACATGTCCCTCTCGCGCCATGCCGAACCCAGCTTCCTCCTCCTCCCACTCCACCCACCAGCCCCTGCAACCCCATCCGCCCCATCCTGTTCATCCAACCCATCCTCCATCCCTTCCATCTCATCAGCCCTACCGCGCCTATCAGGTCTATCGAACCTTTCGGACCTATCATACCTATCGGGTTTACCAGGGCGATCAAGCCTCTCAGGCTCTTTTCTAGGCCTACTGTTTCGGGCAGCAGGGGAAGAGGTCAGCCGCCTGCCACGTGGCGCACGAGAGGGAGGCGCAGCGGAGCGCAGCAGGGGCAGCAGTGAACGATTAGATTGTGGGAGATTTGATTGCCCTGCTCCCGCTGCTGGCCGCAGCAGGCCCCCTTCGGCCCCAGGAGCAACGGCTCCCGCCCCCGCTGCACGCACTTTCAGCAGTGCTGCTGCGTACGTTGCTGCTGCTGCCGCCGAGCCTGCTGCTGCGGCCGTGCCTGCTGCTGCGGCCGTGCCTGCTGCTGCTGCCGTGCCAACTGCTGCTGCCGTGCCTGCTCCAGCGCCAGAGGTTCCTGTTTTCATTTCTGCTGCTTCGACTGCCCGTCCGCCTGCTGCTGCTGCTGCTTCTGCAGCTCTTGAAGCTGCTCCTGCTGCTTTTCCAGCAGTAATTGCTCTCGCAATGCCCAACAAAAGAGCAGACGAGCGGTGTCGATCCATTGGCGAATCAAACCGGGTCTCGTGCCGTCGACCCGGATTGTCCCTTGAATCCCTCAACAGTGACTGTCGTCGATCATGGTGACGTGTCATGATCGGATCCATTAACACAAACCACTCCGGCAGTCGATCGGGAATCTGGGCCGTTTGTAGCCGAGCCGCGAAATCGCGAGGCGTTCGCGAAGGCTCTGATTGTTCCAGCCGGTCAGCCCATTCTAGCCGGTCTCTCAAGTTCTCGTAATTCGATTTAAGCCTGTTAATTTTAGCCTTTATCGCGTCCGCGGAGTGTCGGAATTCCGGGTCACGCTGTAGCAGGAGGTTAAGCAGCTCTTTATAATAATTGGTGCCTCTTGAACCGCGTACGGCGTGAAACTCCGCATCGAGCTCAGCATGCGCCTCGAGGAGTTGCCGAACCTCCGTGTGCGACCACAGGCTCGACCCCTGCACATTCATTAGATTCGATTCGCGGAACGATGCCGGAGGGGGGTCCAAATGGACATTTTCCTCGCTATAAGCTCCCTCGCTATAGGCTCCGCCTTTTCCTGCAGATGTTTCGTTTGTATAAGTGATCTTGGTGCTGGCAACATCAGCGGCAGCCTGGTCAGGTGCAGTCATATCCACCGTTGGTTGACCTGATACAGCTAAATCCGCCGTTGGTTGAACTGATGCTGCGATATCCGCCGTTAGTTGATCTGATGCAGAGATATCCGCCGTTGGTTGATCTGATGCAGCTACATCCGCCGTTGGTTGATCTGACGCAGCTACATCCGCCGTTGGTTGATCTGATGCAGCTACATCCGCCGTTGGTTGATCTGACGCAGCTATATCGGCTGTAGCCTCGCCTGATAAGACTAAATCAGGCGTCGCATGATCAGATAAAGTTAACTCCACCTCGGGCTCCTCAAATGGAGTCTGGGGATCACTGGTGCGAGACATGACCTCCAACTTAGGCTCCATGATTTAATCGTAGCAGTTAGAACAGTCAGAGCAAAAAGCCGGTAAATGCTGACGGACGCAGCACAAGGAGCTCGTAATTCTGACAGCGTAGCCCTTCTGGTGCCCTAAGCTTGCATTTTTAGCCTTTCTGATGGCCTAAAAAACTAACATTTCAGGTACCTAAACTAGAAGAACTAGGTGAGCGAGCACATAAGTGCTGTGTGTGACTGAAGTAAGAGGAGCATGGATATCTCACGCGGTTCAGTACGGTACTTAGACCGAACCCCATTCCGCCTCCCTGCAGGCAGCCACCAACACGAAGACATTTCCTCCGAGAGTTTCCTTTAGGGGAGAAAAGACGCCATTCGCGAAACTGGCAGGTTCATTTTCGCTAGTCCATCCTTACCCGAAATGATCGCATGGGCGAAAATACAAGCTGGTTACTCTGCTTGTGAACTTGTCATTGTATGGCTATCCCCTGACACGGGCGTAGTGTTCCTTCCGCAAGCGACGATTATCCTCTTTGACGACGAATAAGCAGCGTATAACATCGCATTGCTGGTTCGACCTGGCAACTCGTCTTGGCATTGCGGGACGGCTGTTACATGCCCGACGCACAAACTCCTTTTGCTTGCTCTCCTATCGCTCTCAGACCGAACCTAGCACCTTGGCAGACAACTGGCCAATCACAACCATGATTCGAACTCTCATATCGCCAACGTTCGCCTTCGGTTCGGTAAGAGTTTGTCGTCGTCATGAGGTTCGTTCTCCTCCCTTCATCCAACTTGCTCAGGCCAGTTTGGTGTGGTTTGCATTGCAAAGCTGGGACTTGATTCTACTCTGTAACGTTTGTTACCGCGCAGAAACGAAGACTACCGTGCTACCGTTCATCAACCCCAGTTCGGGCCTGATGGACCGTCATCATCAAGGGAACGGATGGAGGGACTGGTACGAACGGCTCCTACCGACGCTCAACACGCTGTATCCTAATCAATGACACTTCGCCGTTCTCAAACGCTCTCAAATTACAAACAAAACGGTCCGCTCGACCTTGAAGCAGTCCGTTCTCAGCACAAACCAACTTTGAGGTAGTCCGACTTCAAAACTGGAAAGCCGAGTTGCTAGCTATCCTCCAAACCCTAGGGTTGCGTTGCGTACCTACTAGTTTGCTTCTTTGAATTGGTTTGGCAGTAGTTTTGTGGTTTGCTCCTAGAAACAGTTTGCTTCTCTGATATCAGTTTCGTTTGGGAAACGGTTTGTTGGAGACCAGTTTGCTCCTAGGAACGTCCTCCTGCTTGAAGTGGTTCGTAATTCCAAGAGAACTCCTAGCGAGCGACGGTCGTCGCTTGCGATCGGAACGATTTTCCTAGTTCCGCTTTGTAGCGAAAACGCTTTGGAAGCTGGGTCTTTCCTGTACCACGCATCTGGTAAATAGAGTATCTATCTATTCCAACCGAAATATGCAATCCCTAGAAGACTCACCGTCGCCGAGCAACAACAGCTTGCTCCCGAGCGATTACCTAAACGCTCCCATCTTCGCCTCGCGTTATCATGACGATTCGGCTGACGACGATGACAATGACGATAACGACGACAATGACGTCAATCATGACGTCAACGGCAGAGAAATCGCTCGTGAGCGCCGAAGCGCGGCCGATCTGGCTCGCGCGATCAACGGCGTGCGACAACACTGGTCCCCGACTGAAACCATGCAGCTGGTTTACGCTTTCGTGGAGCTCGACCGAGAAAACGACGGCATGCGCATCGTCCATGGCTCCAACTACTACCGCGAATTAATTGCCTTGTTGCTTCGGAAGTTCCCCGAATTCCGGCACTCGCAGCCGGCCGTCAAGTCGAAGCTCATCCGCATGAAGAACAAATATTACCGGTTACAGAACCGGCTGGACCGGTCAGCCGTCTGTTCGAAGGAGCAGCTGCCGGAGTGGTATGTGTTGATGGATACGGTGATGGAACGCGATGAGTTCCACTTGCGATCGGCAAGGAAGGAGATTCTGCCAACACGTCGGCGCGGTCGACCGCCGAAATCGCGAGGTACGAGCGCGTGTTTCGTGTGCGTGCTACGTGGACACTATTACTTTACCGTGCCTGCAGTTTCCCCTGCAAACGTTTCCGTTAGTGCGCATTTTGCTGCTTGGGGGTTTCTTTTGTTATTTTTTATTTTCCGCGTACAGTAATGCTATCTAGTCGTTTTTGTCCAAATCCTTTCTTTTTCCCTAATGTTTCACTATTCACAGGCCGTCCAGCAGCAGCACCAGCAGTACCGAAGCGAGAGAGGGTACAAGGCGATTTAAGTGACGATGACTTAAACCCACTCGACGACCCTCTAGATGACACTGAAGCGTATTCGTTTCCGGCTCTCCCAACCCTGCCCACTGCAGCAAACGCGAGAACACTGCAGTATCCTTCCCCAGCTCTCCCAACCCTGCGTACCGTAGCAGTTACGGAAGCACAGCAGTATGTCTCTCCCCCTCCCCGATTTGCCCGAGAGGTTTCTGCACTGTACACCCCGACTGCAGCTGCTGCGTTGCCACTTAAAGCCGGAGCAGCATCAGCACCTGGGGCGACTGGGGCGTCAGCAGCTGTTGGGCAAGCTGTTGCTGCAGCGACTGCTGCTGGGGCATTGGCATTGGCAGTGCTCGGCGCAAGCAATCCATTGCGTGGTGTTGCTCCGATAGTAGCGTCAGTAACTCCTATGTCTACCACTTCTGCATCAGCAACAGGAGGCGCTGCAGGAGGAGCCGCAACAGGGACAGGAGCAGGAACAGGAGGAGGAACAGGAGCAGGGACAGCAGGAACAGCAGTGGGAGCAGCAACGGGAACAGCAGCAGCAGCTGGAGCAGCATCAACAGCTGCAGCAGCAGCCAACGATTCAGGCAGAAGCTACCTGCAGTCACTGCTTGCCACCACAATCCCACTCTCTCCCAAAAGGCTGATTCCTCCGCCTTCTGCTCCAACTGAGAGGCTAACATCTCCCCCTGCTGCTCAAGACGACAGGCTGACGTCACCTGCTTCGGCCGGAGGTGATAAGCTGACGTCACCAGCTTCTGCTGAGGATGATGATAGGCTGGCGTCCCCGCCTTCTGCTCGAGATGGCATGCGGGGGATGTCTCCCCCAATTACCAGAGGGGGGAGGAAGATGGCAGCAGGGTTGGGACCCACAGGGTGGAGGAGGGGAAGGTGGGGATCAGGGTGGCGAGAGAGAGAGGGGTTTGCAGTCAATCCCGGGGTGCGTTCGCACTTGAGTGCTCGTCGCACGGCCGGCAGGACAGGCCTGATGGCTGCTGAAGGGCTGGGTGATGTGATGGACGAGGCGGTTGAGAATGCGTTTGCGGATTTCGAGGGGCTTACTCAGGAGTGGGTGGAGAGAGCGTGTGGTGAGTTTGAGGGGATGGTGGCTGATATGGCAGAGAGGGCGTGCTTGCAGTTCAGGAGTGCTGCGAGGGAGTTTTCTGAGTCGTGGAAAGCCGGGCAGGACTACAAGAGGCGGAGGAGGTTTTGATGGGGGTGTGGTTAAGGTTGTCCTTCGTTTTTTGCTCCACAAGTGGCTATATTTTTCAATGATGCCAGGTTTAGTTAGATGTTCACTTCTGTTTTGCTCCACATGTGGTCAGTTGCATGTTTCAGCCATGTATGGCCTTCAGCTCCTACCTCAGCACTTTTTACCAATTCAATAGTGTCCCCTAAGTACAGTGAGATAATCCCATTTGTCACCCACCTGTAATATCTACAATAAGAAGCGTTTTGGATAGCCACGTAGTGATTCTAATAAGAGACAACCAGCTTTACCTTCTACGCCTCTTTACGTCTTGGTTAGCCACAAAGTTAGCTGCCAGCTCTCTAGCAACATCCTCAAACTGAGCAGCTGCATTTTCAGCCAATCTAGCTGAAAGCTCCTCAAACTGAGAGCATGAATTCTCCAGCAGCTCTCGGGTAAGCTCCTCAAACTGAAAGCATGCGTTTCTCACCGCAGAGCCCATTGCAGCTGCAAACTTTTCAGCCATAGCTGCTGCAATGGATGCCTCAGGGCCTGACAGCATCCCTGCCCCTCTTGCTGCTGCTCCCCGCTTCTTCCTTCCCTCACCAAACCCACCGGTTCCCATCCTCAGCCTGCCAGTCTCCCGAGTAGGAACAGGAGTAATGGAGTTACGAAGAGAAAGCAAATAACTGCCCGATCCGCCGCCACCTGCGAACAGAGAATTTGCTGCTGGTGGTGGAGTTCGAGCTATCGGTGGTTCTGGTGTTGAAACAATATTTTGAAACAGGCTGTTTCTTGCAAGTCCGCTTTGGCCTGCTGTGTCGGGCCACGTTGGCGTGACCGGAAACGCATATGCAGGCGTCTCGGCGGAAAGAAGCTTCCTCTCTTGGCCGGCATTCGTGAGCAGGGCTGCCATACGACCTGAACACAGACATCGCCGACATCTCTATCAGTCCGCTAGCATTAAAAGTGTGTCTATTCACACCAACAAAAAAAGCACACAAAAAATGTGTCACAGTGCAAAGATATGGCGGCGTTTCGAGCAGGATCGTACCCTTACCTGAGTTAGTCGACGGGTGCGTTATCCGAGAACCTTGCTGGTTCGCCGCCGTCGCAGTCTGCCGATTACTGGACTCCCGAGCCATCACAGTGTCCAGCAAGACAAACCATTCCGGTAAATTCCTAGGAGCAGCAGATGCGGACCGCTCGATCCGGTCTCGAAGCTGCAGGTACTGTCCTTTCAGGCGAAACAGCTTCGTCTTGACGGACCCCTCCGTGTGACGGAAATCAGGAAATTTCGCCCGCAGAATGCGATACAATTCGCCGTAGTAATTCGAGCCTTGAACTCCCCGCATGATGTGGTATTCCGGGTCGAGCTCCACGTGGGCTTTAACGAGCTCGATGACCTCGTCCTCTCTCCAATGTCCGCGATTAGCGTTAGCTGCCGTGTCGGCATTAAGTCCGCCATCGTCTCCAGCTGTTCCGACGGAGTCGCCACGAGGAGTGCTGGACGGGGCGGCTTCGGTGGCTTCAACAGCCGTTGAGGCTTCAATAATAGCTGTTTTGTTTTCGATAGCCGCTGAAGCTTCAATAATAGCTGTGCCTCCAGCCGCAGCTGTGTTTTCAATGTCACCCGTTTCAATATTTTCTGCGCTTTGATTATGTTCAACCGCGGCAATCAGGGCTTGTTGCAACGGAGGTGGTGGTGCTGCTGGGGCTTCAGGGCTGGGAGTTTTGGACTCTGACTGCGGTTCCATGGCTTAGTTGCGAACTGATAAACTCTAAGAAGCAGTCAGTGTCACTCAAAAAAAATCTGCTGAAGGTCTGTGTCGCCTAAAAGTGCGACCCTGAAATGGTAAGTAGCGTTTCCAGTCACAAGAGCTGAGAACTAAAGCTCTCCACTGCAGGCTGGGGTTTCAAGAGGGGAGTGTGAGGGGTTTCAAGAAAGAGGGTGACACACTGAACTGTTATGTGAAGAGAAGCTCTCCACTGCATTCAGGGGTTTCAGATAGCAGCGTGACACACTGAACTGTTATGTGAAGCGAAGGTCGGAAATATGGGGGGGAGGGAAAGAACGAGGGTTTCAAATGCTGAGCAAGGGAGGGTTCAAAAACTGTCTCGAAGGCGGTTCCTCGTTTCAAGGATGAGAGCAGAGAGCAGCTTTGAGGGTGTTTCCTCTTAGAATATCCCAACGGACAAACAACCCCACCCCTGACCGGGGCAGAACAAAACTAAAACCCATAGGGTGGCATGCAACCATGGCCGTTTTGGTTGAGTGTGAGCGCTAAGTAGAGGAGAATTCGAATGGGACTAAAAACCGTAGTACCTCCCCTGGTCTGGTATTACTATCGACACCGGGCACTGGTATTACGTTCCATGTCTAGGGTGTAGCATACCTAGGTGTTTGTCCGGTTCAACGGTTTAGACCGTTCTGAAACTAGCTGCACCTTACGGTCAACTGTAGATGAGAAGTGGGGTGACTTCCAAATACAGCAGTAGCGGTCATGCATCCGGGGACATTGCACGGTGTACCCCCTGACATTGAACGTTAACCCGTTCTCACGAGTCACGCCCAAACAGAACTTCATCTCAAGACATGTCCTGATGGAACTTCGTTCCGAGGCCATACGGAGGTACAATTGTGGGAAAGCTCGAAACCCATCAGGACCCAGATTGGGTCTCGTGGTAGAAGAGTGCAGCCTAGAACTGCACAAGTGAACAAGGTATCGCTCTGGTTCGGAACAAACATGAAGCCAATTTGCAATCTTAGCCTGACACGTGTCGAAACATGCGGTGGAACTCCAACTAGCCAAAGCGCCAAAGTACAGCTCTCCGACACCTGAGATGCTATAATTGGTTCGTCCAGATTACGTTTCACAGATGATGTCACAGCTGTTTCCGCTAACAGACGGGACGCACGCACACAGCAGCACAAGACGTTTCAAGCGAGGTTCGAGGAGAAGGACGTCCAATAACTACAGTTATTTATCGCCCAACTGTGCTGCAAGCCTCCGCAAGCCTGCATCCCCAGAACATAAATTTAAGGGAAATTATACGGGCAGTCACAATTATGCCCATTTTACGACTGGTCATAGGGGAATCACGAACAGTCACAGTACAGTAGATTGCTATCGCGGGTGATCACAGTGCTATCACGGATGGTCACACCTCGCCCCAGAAAGCTATCACGTTTGGTCACTCGATGAAACGAGGATAATATATTTGAAGCCACAAATGAAACTGTAGAAATTTTGGGGAATCCCAACCTTCATTGCTTGTTATCTCGCGCAAAATTCTAGCCCGTCATTTAGGGGACTGAAGAAAAAAAATAAACCCCTAAAGGATGGCACGTCCATTGGGAGGCATCAACCCTAAACACCATGCGACAAGGTGTTTAGGGTTGATGCATCCCGACCCTAATCCCATCCGAATGGGGTTTATTTTTTTTAGTCTTGTGAACAAAAAAACACCCTTCGAGTTTCACCCATCTAAAGTGATATTTTAGGGTCATTATGCATCCATCGAACAGTGGACAATCAAATAGTAACAAGAAATCTCAAATGATTTTTACGAGTTACCGAGAGGGTGCGCGAAACTATTTCGTAACAATACGGACAAAACGGCGCGCGCGAGATAATTGTCCTTGAATCCCTACAGTGACTTGTGTAGTTTCAACTTATAATGGTCGTTTCAACGAGTGACCAAACGTGATAGCTTTTCGGGGCGAGGTGTGACCATCCGTGACAGCACTGTGATCACCCGCGATAGTAATCTACTGTACTGTGACTGTTTGTGATTCCCCTGTGACTAAACGTGATAAAACGGACATAATTGTGACTGCCCGTATAATTTCCCTAAATTTTAATCAACCAATGCGAGACAAACAATGGAAATTGATGCTATTGTTTGTGCTTGCATACACATCACACTTGCAGAATTTTGCTTCACGTGCATTATGTGTACTTTTGGAGCACTTGCCAATGGAGACTGCTGTTCTATTTTGTGATCTGTTAGGTAACATACGATGCACTTGAGCACAGAAAATACATAATCCATGCTAATGTAGTCGGTTTTAACCTATTTAATATGCATAATAGAAAGGTACCTACGGTAACCGATATGCCCCTACGCACTCACACCCACATTTGCACGAGGACCATCTCCCATCCACACCTTAATCTTCCTTCCACGCCCCTTGGTGTGTGTATCCCCATCCAATAAAGATGCCCAAAACTTGTGCAATCCACTCTTCTTGCTTCCACCACCACTGCTCCTGTTGTTGCTGCTCTTGCTGCTGGTATTTTCATTGCTGCTGCTGCTGCTGCTGCCCTTGCTGCTGTTGCTGCTGATGCTGTTTGAGCTTTTATGGGCAATTATGTTGGAAGAAGCTTCAGAGAAAGATTCTTCCAGAGGAGCCACCAGATGCCACTCAGACGCCCCAGGTGAAAACTCAGGCAGGAAAAGCGTAGACGCATTAAAGGTCCTGCCTGTGCCAGCTGTCCTGCTGTCTACAGATGACATGACCCGGGTGCCGATATCACGACCTGGCGTGGCGAACGCATGGTGCTGACGTGGCATGTGCTGACGAGGATGCTGCTGCTGCTCGTTCATTGCCATTTTCGGAGCAATAAATCTGGCGCTTCCTCCGAAGTTAGGATTGCGAGAACTGTAACCGGGCCTACCACCCGCCATAACGTTACCACCTGTCATAATGTTACCGGCTCCCAGGATCTCTACACCCGTGTTCCCTTCCTCGGAATCATCAAATTTCGCACTGTAGATGCCACTGCCGCCCCCCATATCAGCACCATCGATGTGACTGTAAAGAACGCCCGGCTGGTACTGCACCCCGCTGTGCTCCGGCACAGCAAAATTCGTCAAGGGAACGCCACTGGGATGGATCAGCATTCCGGGGGAGGAGGAAGAGTGGTGAAATTGACCCTGGGTAAGACCAAAATTAGGGGAGGAGGAAGCGTGGTGAATGGGCGCCAGGGGCAGTTTAGGAGAGGAAGAGGGTTGGTGAAATGGGCCGACTGGCAAGCCAGGGGAGGAGGAGGAGTGGTGAATCAGATCCGAGGGGGCACCAGGAGAGGAGGAGTAGGAGGAGGACTGGTGAATGAGACCATGGGGCACACCAGGGGAGGAAGAGCCATGGTGGTGAGGGATGGGGAGTGGTGCAGATGGGGGCTGGGAGTGGTGAATCTGCTGCTGCGGGTTCGGCCTCAGTGCGAACTCCTTGCTGTGCCTTTTAGGCTTCTGGCGGGTCTTCAAGGGGGGGGCGGAGGCGGAGGCAGAAGCGGAGGGGGAGGGGGAGGAGCGGGGGGAAGAGTGGGGGCGCTGGTGGAAGCCAAGATGGTTCAGGAGAGAGGACGAGAGGGAGCGGAGCGTGGGGTGGTGCTTGTGGCGCGGCGAGCTCGCGGAAACGCCCGAGAAGGAGGAGTGAGAAGAAAGCTTGTGGTGAAAATCTCCTGCTGTAGCCGCTCCGCCTGTACCAGTTGTAGCGGCAGCAGAAGCAGAAGGTGAAGGAACGACAGGAGGCAGAGGAAACGCGGATGTTGCAGCAGCAGTCGCAGCACGTGGGTGGTGCGTGTCAGGCGCGTGCTCGGCACGTGGCTGGTTTAATACGAGGTGCTCTGGCAGCCCGTGCGTGAGATCCAACTCCTCGATGCGGATGTTGGCCTGGTCCAGCCACGCGCAGGACGCTTCGAGCTCTGCATGGGGAAGGAAAGAACGGGAGACGTGAGGTTCAGGGTGAGGTGACCTGGCATCCCGTGCGTGAGGTTCAGCTCTTAGGTGCGGTTGCTGGCTTGATCCAACCACGCGCGTGACCGTTCCGTTCTACAGGTGGGTTTGAAAAATCGAAAAGAAAAGAAAAAGAAACCGAGCTGACGCGGATAAAATCAGAAACAAACAACAAACCAAACCAAGAATCAATCACACTAAAAAACAAATGCAGCTGCAAGTCGTCTCGCATAACGCGCTCCAGTTCGCTCAACAGCGAGTATCACGGTGACGACTCTCACGGCGAATCTCACGGCGTCTCTCAGGGCGAATCTCACGGCGCTCACCTGTTTTCGGTTCGACTTGTGAAGCGACTCGAGGTACGCGAGTCGAGATGCTCTCACGCGCGCGAAGTAGTATCAGCTGAGTTATATAGCTCAGCACGGCGTTTCTCGCGGCGACTTTCACGCCGTCTGTCCGACAGCACGCACGCACCTGTCCATCGGTTCGACTTGGGAAGCGACTCGAGGTACGCGTCCAGGTCCTCTTCCGCGCACGCCGCGTAGTCGTACTCGTTAGAAGCCTCCGCATTTTCGTGATCCTCTGGCAGCAGCGTCAGCGGCTGGAATCGGCAGTCGCCGGGGGCTCCGCCTTCCGCTACGGTGCTCGCCCCTGGGAACAGCCGGCGGAAGGAAGACGCGGCGGGGGTGAAAGGAGGGGAAGGAGATGGGGAGAGGTTGAGCAGCCGGGAAAATAAAGACGGGTCCCGCTTTGGGATAGAAAGAGCAGAACGAAAACCCTGCATCATCACGGTACTGTTTTCGGCCAGATCGTTAGTACGGTAGTGTCCGCATTGACTAAGAACGCCAGTACCGTGGAAATGCACCGTAGGATACTCCTGTACCTCTCTTTTAGCTCACGCCTTACTAAAAAGGCGAGTGCAGGAATCGTTTGGAATTTATCAACGCTTCGTGAAAGCGAGAGCCCACTGAACTGAATGTAGCGTAGCGCTTACATTGCTCGATGTCTTTGCGCTCCGGGCACCAGCTGGTGTAGCGAGTGGAGTGGAAGTCGGCGACAGTTGTCATGGCGGACGGTGACGATGGCTGACGACGAAGTGCGACGCGTGCGACGGTGATGCTTGGTGACAATTGGAAAGTCGCAGAGAATTTGCGGACGACGCGGCTGGAACCAACGCGAAGCCTCCCGAGAGAGATGCTAGGGGCAGCGCGCGAAAGCTGCGTAACGCTGATACAGCAGCGAGCTTCAAGGCACTTGAAATACTGAGAAAATTACTTGCAAGAAGTCCCGTAGCATGGAGTGGAGTAACGTCAAGTACGGTTTTGTCCGTTATAGACGGGTGAAAACATGTGGTGGGGTCGACGACGACTCGACGACACTGACGACCGGGTGAAGTGGTGGAAAGGTTGGAGGGGAAGTGTGGGGAAAGCGAAAGTGATCAGCTCAGCTACTGGAAAGTGGACAATGCTGCATCAGCGGCTCCAAGATTGCTGCAAACCTGTAGTGATCGGGGCCGTAACCTAAACCAAGTTCGGACGTTTGGAGCGCTGCGGCGCTGACTAACACTTCTAGGCGCGCCATGCCGAACGCAGACAGCTCCTGGTTGGGTAAGCGCTTGGGTGTGGAAAAGTTAAACCTGCCGGGCCAGGCCTACTCTTGTGGTTTGAAATTGTTGGTCCGGAACACAGAACGAGACCTTCAAGCTTCGGCCTGGGCCGGGCCACATCTACAGTGATCCACCGAACCGAAACTGCAAGAACGGGGGGCAGCAATTGGAAACAAGTATCTCCGAGAATCTGGGCGATGCTACTGTAGATTCAATGATGAAAATCGTCCAGTTACTGTAGTCTGGCCCGGCGTTTTCTGTAATCCACCATACACCACCACACCAGACCATGCCACAAACATCAGAAGCCACCGACTTATGAAACCACAGAACATCGCACGAGCGAATCGACAAACGAGCGCTGATTCGATAGGACGAATGGTTGGACAACACTTTTATTGGCTAGGCTAAACCTCGACGGAAGTTCATTGGTTACAAATGAGCCGCCAATGCTGCCAAGTAGCATCAAATGTCTCAGCAGCAGTGGTCCGCCGTACGGGATAGAGGGAGGCATAAATACACTCGCAAGAAGGAATGCTCAACGTGGACAGGTGTACACATTGGTTCAATAAAACGCTTCTAGTACTTCTGTCACCAATTTGCTTCCATTGAACTCATAACGTGGTAATATTTACCACCTCTTACGCCTCTTGGCATCTCGGCTAGCCTCCACGTCCTCAACCCTTCTGTTTAGTTAACTGCACGCAAACATTCTCCGCCAATCGCTGCGAGCGACAGCTCCTCAAACTGCAAGTACGCATCCTCCAGCAACTACCTCCTCTTTAGCGTCTTAGCATCTTTGCCATTACCTGTTACACCACTACACATCCTGCCATCAACTCTCTCGCAAACTCCTCGAACTCCACGAAAGCATCCTCCGCCAATCGCTGTGACAGATCCTCAAATCTTGAGTACGCATCCTCCAGCAACTTCCTTAAAAGTTTTGAGTTGATTCAAAACACACGAGTACACATCCTCGAGCAACTCCCGAGTCCCAAGTAAGCTCCTCCTCATTCCTGCTTCGACGCAACTCATCACCTCTGCTATTCACCTCCTCTACGCTTCTTGGCATCTCGGCTAGCTGTTACACACTCCTCCATCAACTCTCTTGCAATCTCCTCAAACTGCGCACTAGCATCCTCCGCCAATCGCTGTGAGAGCTCCTCAAACCGCGAATAAGCATCTCTAGCAACTCCCTAGTAAGCTCTTCAAACTGGAAACACGCGTTTCGCACAGCTGCACCCATGGCTCCAGTCAGCCTCCCGCCCAACCTCTCGCTCACCCTCTCGCCCGACCTCTCGCCGACCCTCTCGCCCAGCCTCTCGCCCGAAACCCTGCACTCGGAACCTTTCCACCTCCTGTGAACCTCTCTGTTCCTCTCCGTGCAGATCTTCCCTCCTTCCGCTCCCGCCGCTCGATATTACCAGGCCTACCACGTAATGAGCCCCCCTCAGAAGTCAAACTACCCGGTGCTGCTGCCCCTTGTCTGTGGGCTGATGCAGTCGAATAGAAGTTTGTAGCATGCAGGGGAGTTGTGGCTGGAAAGGGGACTGTAGCTGGCATGGGGGTGGGGGCTGTAGCAGGCAGGGGGGTTGTAGCGGGCAGGGGGGCTGTAGCGGGCAGGGGGGCTGTAGCGGGCAGGGGGGCTGTAGCGGGCAGGGGGGCTGTAGCGGGCAGGGGGGCTGTAGCGCCGGTAGCAAACGTAACCCTGTTACCAGGCAGGCGCAACAGGTTGTTGCCTGATCCACCAGATCTTTGCGTCAAGCCAGAAACCGGACCTGTAGCACCAGGAACAGGAGAGACTTTGCTGCGCAGGCACAGCAGGTAGGTGTCAGAGGGTTGCCTCGAGTCCGAGGGTTGCCCCTCAGGTGGTGCAAAGGGAGAGACAGTGGATGGAGCTGCTGCTGTTAACGGGAGAAGCGCGGACGGTGAAGGTAACGGTAGTAACGGTAACGGTGATGGTGATGGGGATGGTGATGGTGAGAATGATGGCACTGCTGCCGCTGCTGCGGCTGCTGCGGCTGTGGCTGCGGCTGTGGCTGCGGCTGCTGCTGCTGCTGCTGCTGCTGCTGCTGCTGCTGCTGCTGCTGCCCCTGCCCCTGCTGCTGCTGCTGTCCCTTCTGCTGCTGCTGCTGCTGCTGCTGCTGCTGCCCCTGCTGTTGTTGCTCCTGCGGCTGCTGCTCCTGCTGCCTACTATTCTCTCCCCATCCTGAACCAATGCTCTCAGGAAACGCATACGCTGGCATTTCAGCGGGCTGTTTCGGGGCTGTCAATACCATCGCAACAGCAGATGCAGCAGCTGCTCTAGAAGCCTTTCTAGCCTTATTGGCAGCAACGTTTTTCCGCGCCTGAAGCTCAGTCCCATAGAACACGCGAATGTACTCGAACCATGCTGGTTTTGTCCTATCCTTCCCCCCGGCCTTGGCCCTTCCCTTCCCCTTTGTCTTTGCCCCTGTGTTCCCCCCTGACGCGTTATTGGGTTGCTCATCCGCGTTACTAGACCCACCCTGCCGCTGCTCATCCACGGCCCCCACCTGCTGCCCCCCGGCCCCTGCCTGCTGCCCCGCGCCTCCCGCATGATGCTCCGCAGCACCCCCCTGCTGCCCCGCTCCCCCCACCTCCTGCTCCGCCCCCCCTGCCTGCTGCTCCGCGCCCGTCGTCCCATTCGCGGGGCACCGCCCCGTCCCCCGCTTCCCCCCCCCGCTTCCGCCGCTTCTTCCGCCGCGGGTCGAGCGTCTCCGCGTCGTACCGCGCTTTCATGCGCGTCCACTGCTTCTCCATCGCCGTGGGGATGCGCCGCCATTCCAGGTTTCCCCGCCGGATCGCGCGCCACACCTGCCGCCAGAACAAGGCACAACAACAACTCTTTTTCCAGAAAAAGGAAGTATCTGTGTACAAGAGAACTTGCTGCCACTTCAAACAAAAGCTCCTAAACGGGGTTCCCCCGCCGGATCGCGCGCCACACCTGCCGACAGTAAACTTCCCCCCTGCCGCCGCTCCGCCGCGTCACCTCCCCGCTGTGCCGGCAGAAAACGACAGCCGCTGCGAGCTCCATCCGCTCCGCGTCGCTCCAATGACTCATCTTCCGCGCCGCGAGCTCCCCTAATTCCTCGCCTTCCGTTTCGCCTTCCTGGAGTTCGTACCATGGGACCTCGAGACCGCCCGGTTGCCCCACGCGACCCGGTTCCCCCACGCGACCCGTATCGGCCTCCGCATCCGTTGCCCACTCTCGATCCGTTTCTCTGTCTCGAACCCTGTCTTCTGTTAAGTCATACGGCCTTCCGAATCGTCCTCTAAGACACTCGTCGATATCGTATGAGTCGTCCGACTCGCCGTCGTTTTCGGCGTCGCTTTCGCCGTCGTCGCCGAAGTCGTCGCCAAAGTCGTCGCCGAAGTCGTCGCCGGCGTCGTCGGCGTCGCTTTCGTCGGCATCGCAGCGTGTTAAGGCGGCAGCGTGCTGCTCCTTGATCCACCGAATGAACGGAGGGTCGGGTGTTAAATCGTCGCCGGATCGGCTTCCTTGCCCGCCTGGCCTGGAATACCGTTAGCTGCACGATTCCTAGGAGCCATGAAAATTCTGATTAGTGGCTATGGCCAAGGAGAGACCGGAAAATTCTGCTACTAGGTCGCGTTCAGAATTCGTTCAAAGTGCTGGTCCTGGACCAGAAAAGACCCTGTCCATGCAGGGGACATCAGTCAGGAAATTCCAACTAGACAATACGCAATGATCCTAAACTATCAGCTGGACCCTAGGTCTGTCCTACCTGTGACAGAAAATGAACCATGGTGGCAGAGATCTCAGCACGTTTCAGAGAACTGATAGTTTCAGTTCGGCTTTCGCATCAGACAGAACGGTTCTACAGGGTTAAGCTGTGTGTAACCCTCAGATGTCAAGCAGGTATACAGTCTGCCCCAAATTCCCAGAGCAGCTCTGGTCGACACGACGACTCTCTTGTCGTTCCCGCTTGTCTTGCAACGCTGAAAATTGCAGCACGCGGTCAGTGGAAATACGAACAAGGTCTGGCAAAACATCCACCAGAGTCGACGAATTCGAGACATCACAGGTTTACGAATTCCATTTCGCGAGTCTCAGAGAGCAGCTCTATGAACCCAGATGGTAACCAGCGAAGTCCATCGCGAAGAGACACGAAAATTGTCGTATCCCTGGTCGGTTACTAATTGGGGTTTTGCATGGGGTCGTCTGCCCGTTTCTCATAGTAAAGTGCAGTAGATGAAGTCGTCCCGCAACCCGGAAAAAGCCGTCACTTGACATCCTTCGCAGGCAGTGGTCACAATAAACTGCTCGACACATGAAAAGCAGCTGGACACGGTTGAAGGCTGAGTCAACCGGAAGGAGTTGTTTGTCAAACAGACCCCCAAAGTTTGAGAGTAGCGAATGGATTCGATTTTCGGTAATGAGTGTTTACTGAGTGGACTCAGGGTACATTCCGCGCTGGACATGTCCCAATCGAAAGTGTCTCAATCGTTTCTACCGCACTGCATCGTATTACACCAAATTGCACCCTAGTTTCGAAATTTTCGCGTCTCTGGTTTAGTTCGGTTCGGAGCGGTACACTCGATTGGGACACATCGATTGGGACAGTGTCCACAGCGGAATGTACCCCTCAATACAGTAAACTGTGGAAGTTTCAGGAATATACAAAACGAACCAATTTTTTTCCAGCAGAAAGCCTTGTAGTATTCTCTCTGCAAATTGCATAACGGATTGAAAGGAAAATAAAAACACTGATACACAATCAAAATGTTGCTTCCATGCAACTCATCACTTGTGTTAATATCTCCTCTTCCGCCTCTTGCCATCTCGGCAAGCCGTAACAGTCTCCTCCATTAGCTCTCTCGCAATCTCCTCAAACTGAGCAGAAGCATCCTCTGCCAATCGCTGTGAAAGCTCCTCAAACTGCGAGTACGCATCCTGCAGCAACTCCCGAGTGAGCTCATCAAACTGAGCGCAGGCGTTTCTCACAGCCGCACCCATGGCTGCAGTTAATCTCTCGCCCACCCTCTCGCCCAACCTCTCACCAAGCCTCTCGCCTGAAACCCCTGCACTCGAATGCTTTCCACCTCCTGTAATCCTGTCTCCCAACCTCTCCATTCCCCTCCTTGCGGATCTTCTCTCATTCCGCTCTCGCTGCTCCCTTCTACGACCCCTTTCACGCAGTGAACCCCCCCCAGAAGTCAAATCACCCGGTGCTGCTGCTGCTGCGCCTTGTCTGCGGGCTGATGCCGGTTCAGAAAGGGGAGCTGTGGCATGTGCTTGCGTCGCGTCAGTATTATTTTGCATGATGTCGAAAATCGGATCCGTAGCGGCGGGAGCAGGAGTGGGAGCGACTTTATTACGCAGGCACTGCAAGTAGCTGTCAGACGGTTGCCCTTGCCCCCCAGCAGGTGCAAAGGGAGAGACAGTGGTCGGAGCTGCTGCTGTTAAAGGGAGAAGCGCGGATTGTGAAGGTAATGGTAGTAACGGTAATGGTAATGCTGATGGTGAGGGCCCATTGTTTCCCTGCTGCTGCTGCTGCTGCTGCTGCTGCTGCGGTTGCTGCTGTGTTTGTTGCTGCTGCTGTTGTGTCTCCTGCTGCTGCCGCCCACCTGTCTCTTCCCACCCTGAACCAATGCTGTCAGGAAACGCATAAGCAGGCATTTCAGCAGGCTGACTTCTTGCAGTAAACCCCGTAGCAACAGCAACAGCAGTAGCCACCCTAGCTGCTCTTCTAGCCTGTTTTCCTGCCACTTTTTTCCTCGCCTCAAGCTCACTCCCGTTGAACAATCGAATGTACTCAAACCATGCTGGTTCTGTCCTAATCCCCCTACCCTTCCGCCCTCCCTTGGACCTTCCGCTCACTTTTGCCTGCGCCCCTGCGTTCCCCCCTGACTCGTTATTAGGCTGCTCATCCGCGTTAGTAGCCCATCCCTGCCGCTGCTCAACTGAGCCCCCCACCCCCGTCTCACCCCGCTTCCTCCTCCGCCGCTTCTGCTTCCGCCGCAGGTTGTGAATCTCCTGGTCGTAGCGCGTATTCATGCGCTCCCACTGCTTCGCCATTGCCGTCGGAACGCGCCGCCACTCGGGGTTCGCGCGTCTGAGCACGCGCCACACCTGCCAAGAGTATACACGACAGCAACAACTACTTTTTTTTTAAGAGGAAAAAAATGTATCTGTTTAGAAGAGCCGCCATTCGGGGTTTTCAGGACTTGCTGCCATATATGACGAATGCTCTTAGAGCGGTTTTACCCCGCCAGATCACGCGCCGCACCTGCCGCCAGTAATCTTGCCCAATGCTCCGTCGCGTCGCCTCCTCGCTGCGCCGGCAGAAAACGACAGCCGCTGCGAGCTCCATCAGCTCCGCGTCGCTCCAAAGGCTCCTCCGCGCCGCGAGCTCCGCCATTATCTCGTCTTCGTTCTCGCATCCCCGTAGTTCGTACCAAGGGACCTCGAGACCACCCAGTTCCCCCACGCGACCCGGTTCCCCCACGCGACCCGAATCCTCCACGCGACCCGGTTCCCGCACGCGACCCGGTTCCTCCACGCGACCCGTTTCGGCCTCTGTATCCATTTCCCTGTCTCGATCCGTTTCTCTGTCTCGATCCGTTTCCCTGTCTCGATCCGTTTCTCTGTCTCGATCCTTTTCCCTCTCTCGATCCGTTTCCCTGTCTCGAAATGCGTCTTCTGTTGAGACATACGGCCTTCCGAACCGCTCTCCGAGGTGGTACTCGTCGATATCGTACGAGTCGTCCGACTCGCCGTCGTCGTTTTCGGCGTCGCTTTCGCCATCACCGTCGCTCTCGTCATCGTCGTCGCTCTCGCCATCGTCGCCTCTCAAGTCGTCGCCAAAGTCGTCGCTAACGTCGTCACCAAAGTCGTCTCCGTCGTCGGCGTCGCTTTCGTCGTTTTCGTCGGCGTCGCAGCGGGTTAACGCGGCAGCGTGATGCTCCTTAATCCACCGAACGAACGGAGGTTCGGGTCGTACAATCGTCGCCCGATCGACTTCTGTGCCCGCCTGGAATGGTATACTGTTAGCTGCACGATTCCTAGACGCCATGATAGTTCTGGAATGAGGATATCGCCAAGGAGAGACAGGAAGTTGCGCAACCAGGACGCGTTCAGAATTCGAACTAAGTCCTGGACCAGAAAAGACCCTAGGTCTTGTCCGTTCAGGGAAAACCAGCCCAGGAGTTCCAGCTAGAAATGTCCCTAGACTGTTGCTGGACACTAGGTCTGACTTCTCCGTGACAGAAAAGAGTCTGTTTGGCAGAAACATCTTGGGAATGGACCTTGGTGGCATGTTTCAGAGAACAGATCGGTTCCGTTTGGTTTTGCGTAAACCAGAACGGCTTTACAGGTTTATTAGGCGTTGGTACCGTCAATTGACAAGCAGGTATGCAGCTGACACGACGATTCATGTTCCCCCGTCCCAAGTTCCCAGAGAGGTTCTGGCTGACACGACAACTCTCGTGTCGTTCCCGCTTGTCTTGCAACGCTGAAAATTGTACCACGCGGTCAGCGGAAATATAGATAGGGTCAGGCAAAAGATCCACCAGCGCCGACGAAACGAGACACCACAGGTTAACGAATTGTGAATTTCGTGAGTCTATCGAAGCAGCTATATAAGCCCAGATGGTAACCGACGAAGGCATACGCGGAAAACCGAAAGTGTCGCATCCCTGGGGCTTACTTGGGACAGCGCTCAGGCGCAGCCAGTGATGGCACTACCCAGCCGATGCCTGGCATGGGAGGAAACAGGGTCGCGCCAAGCCCGCGGGAGCCTCGCGAAGTCCGTCGGCACGCGGAGTTCGCGGCGACAAGTGGCGAACAGGCCATTATGGCACCAATGCCACTCAAGCCGCAACGCCCGCCCTGCTTTGACCCGAGCCAGCGTGGAGGTCCGACAGTTCAATCGTGGGTCTTCACGATGAACGTCTTCTTCGACGCGAATTACGTCGAGTCGGACGCAGCGAAGATTCGGTATGCCGTTTCGCTGCTAAGGGGCCCCGCCATGGACTGGTGGCGAGTCATCGTGACGTCGCCACGCGCCTACGAGCCACCGTCGCAAGAGGAAGGGCCCACGGGTCCAGCTGTCACCTGGAGTTCATTCTGCGAGACCGCCCAATACAGCACGTGGGATGCGTGGTG